TAGTTTTCAAAATCTCAATCGCTTTCTTCACATCTTTTCTAATATCTAATACAGAAATTTGATAATGCACTTCATCTTTAGCAGATCCCCCCAAATGACTAACCAAGGCATCAAGGCATCCATCCAACTGATAATGCGCACAGTAAGTCTCAAAATCTCCAAGCCATTCACGCAATGTAATATCTCCAGGGGCTTTAGGGTGACCTTTAAATTTAGAAATTTTAATAGGAGGTGGGACTTTTTGAACATTCACACCTTTTACCACATCAGTCAACGCAGCAAGCATGCCAACAAAACTTTCAGTTTCGGCGCTAGCAAGTTTCTGAGGTTTAGCCACATCGCAATGACGCAAAAGGACCTATACATGCAATTATGATTACAAACAGTTAAATAAGATATAGAAAAACCGTACCGTCAGAATTACACAATTAATAATTAACTTCATGCATTAAACAATTATCTCATGGCCGGCGGAACCGGGGGCCGGGGGCCCGGGCCCCCACTTTTTGGCAAGAAATATATAATGCCTGGAGATTTTTGTATGATAGGAAATGCAAGAAAAGAAGGAGGGAAGAAAGAGGAGAAGGATGGGAAAGAGAATGTTTATCCAGTACCCGACCGAGTTACCCTTTCTCGCAATTCACATTGGCGGATCTGGGGGAGGGGTGTCATGGGTCCTGCCTTCTCCCTTGGGCAACAAAAAAATAAAGGGGGAAAAAGAAAAGAATTCTAGACCTACCTTTTCAGGACCCGTGAGCCGATTTTTTTTTTTTTTTTTTTTTTTTTGTTGCTATTAGAATTTTTTTTTTTTTTTTTTTTTGTTACAATAAGAAAATTAGAATTTTGAAGAACATAAAAGTCATTAAAACACACTTCATCTAGGAATCAAAATTTTCCCGGCGGAGAACCCCCGGACCACTCTTTCTTTTTGGGATTTATCGATTGATGGAAAAAAGAATACGCATGCAACTACTCATTTATTTATGTATGTATACACACATAAAATAAAAATGAGAACAATTTACCTGACCGTTTTCAAGAGGGAAAAACCTTGAAAAAGTCATTGAAAGAAATTTCAGAAGTCAGGAAAGCTCATTTCCCGACATCTAGAAATCGAAATTTTTCCGGGGGAACCCGGACCCCCTCTATCTTTGGAGTTCATTGATTAATTGAATCATTTTCAAGAGGGGGAGAACCTTGAATTTTGAAGAATTTAAAAGTCATTAAAAGACACCCCAGAAGTCGAGAAAGCTCATTTCCCGCCACCTAGGAATCAAATTTTCCCAGGGAAGAACCAAAGGATCCCTTTTTGGGGATTTATCGATTCATGGAAAAAAATATCGTATGCAACTACTCAATTTGTTTGTGTATGCATACACACATAAGACCTATCTACTGTAATAACAATGATACAATTTTACCTGACCATTTTCTGAGAGGGAAAACCTTGAATTTTAAAGAACTTAAAAGTAATTAAAAGACACCTCAGAATTCGGGAAAGCTCATTTCACGCCTTCTAGGAATCAAAATTTTCCCGGGAGAGGACCCCCGGACCCCCCTTTCTTTTTCGGATTTATCGATTCACGGAAAAAAATTCGTATGCAACTACTCATTTATTTTTTGTGTATGTATACACACATAAGGCTTATCTACTGTAATTACAATAGAAAAAAATACCTGACCGTTTTCAAGGAGGGGAAAAACTTGAATTTTGAAGAACTTAAATTAAAGACGCTAAAAGATACTTCAGAAGTCGGGAAAGCTGATTGCCCACCATTTAGAAATCAATATTTTCCCGAGAAGAACCTGAAACGTTTCCTCTTTGGTTTCATTGATTCATTATAATAATTTTCAAGAGGGGAAAACTTTGAATTTTGAGGAACTTATAAGTAATTAAAAGACACCTCAGAAGTCGGGAAAACTCATTTCCCCCTTTTTAGGAATTAAAATTTTCCCGGGAAGAACCCTCGGACCCCCTTACTTTTTGGGATTTATGGAAAATTCGTATGCAACTACTCATTTTTTTTTTATGTATGTATACACACATAAGGCCTATTTACTGTAATAAAAATTGGAAAAAATTACCCGACCGTTTTCGAGAGGGGATAACCTTGAATTTTTTTTAATGTATGTATGCACTCATAACAGGCCTTTTTACTGTAATAACAATGGGAAAATTACCTGACAGTTTTCAAGAGGGGAAAACCTTGAATTTAGAAGAACTTAAATGTAATTAAAAGATACCTCAGAAGTCGGGAAAGCTCATTTCCTGCCTTCAAACCCCCTTTCTTTTTGGGATTTATGAAAAAAAGAATAGGTATGCAACTACTCATTTTTTTAATGTGTGTATACACACATAACAGGCCCATTTACTGTAATGAGAAAGTTCACCTTACCGTTTTCAAGAGGGGGAAAACCTTGAATTTTGAAGAACAAAGTCATTAGACACCTACAGTAAGAAATCAAAATATCCCAGGGGGAGGAATGTTGACTCCCCACCTAGATTTGATTCAAGATCTGCATGATTCATCTTCCTATTCATAAGTGGGCCCCCTCACTATGAAAAACGTTCCGCCGGCCCTGTATCAATAATTAACATTATGCATTGAACAATTATCAATTTCAATCATTACAGTAACATCAATGCAACATTTCAGAGCTCACTAATATTAAACAAGCCTCCATTCATAATAAAGTGATTATACAATAAACATTATAACATTATTATCCAAATGGAAATGCTATTAAGTTCAACATAATAAGAATTCACATTATCTTCACTATTCATTCAGCAATATAAAAAATTATTAATTAAATGTAAAGTTTTTATCATCTCCAACTCAAGGGTTGATAATATCGCTTAAGTCTTGTACTGTCGGTATAGCTTCCACAAATAGATGCACGATGCCTCTTGTACTCTGCTCGCAGCGCCAAGTTTGTCGTGGTTCGACTTTAGATAGATATTGAAAGGGGAGGTACAATCTTCCTTGAGTAGTTTAGACTCAGTTCTGTATATAACATTCAACGTTTTATTTGTACATAGACCAAATCGAACTATACGAAACAAAACCCTGCAAAATAATACATTTCAAGCAAGAATTATATTATGCGTTATAATTACATAGTAGGCTTATATCAAGTATAACAACATTAGGCAAGTTATATAATTTAACAATCTGATATAACCTGGCAATACACCAAAATCAGAAACAATTTAATGATTAAATAGCATAGCCTAAATGGTGTAATAACTTGTATTTATCTCAAGCTAGAGTCTATTTAATGCACCAGTCTGCAAATTACGACTATTGGACGTTCCAACAACACTTCTTAAAATACAGACTATTGGACACTCCAACAAACTTCTGTTAACTACAGACAAATAATGGCCACCAAAACGTCTGTAACTTCAAACTATTATTGGCCACCAAAACTTCCATAACTTCAGACTATTACTGGCCACCAAGCTAACGGTATATTAATCACTAAACAAGAATATAACGATCATGAGTAATAAAAATCTCTCTCCTTTAGCGGAATGTAGAATAACATTAATAATACTAACAACTCATGTAAATGTACAGCACAATAATATTAACAATGCATTCAACAAAGTCATGGACTTCAGAACTGCATATTGCCAAAATAACGAACTGCATACTGTGCAGGGTTTGCAACGCAACAAACGAAAACACATCGCAAGAGCCCACAAAAGCATATATACCGCGGAACAGCTGTGTATTTGCATGAATATGCTGATCGGCTGTGTATTTGCATGAATATGCTGAACGGCTGTGTATTTCCATGAGTGAATATGCACAAGATGAATATGCAGCTCAATCCCCATCGCACGAACAAATCACATTATTATTATTATTATTATTATTATTATTATTATTATTATTATTATTATTATTATTATTATTATTATTATTATTGTTATTGTTATTATTATAATTATTATTATTATATTATTATTATTATTATTATTATTATTATATTTTTTTTTTCATTTGTGTTCCACGTGTGTTCCGACAGAATATGTAAAAAATGAAACAGCTTCAATAGTAGACTTTAAGAACACTGATTTATTAGCAACTCGAATATTTCTGCCACTCGTGTGGCCTTCATCAGCGAGAATAATGGAAAACATCATGAATCATTATTATATAGGCTGTCTTATCAAAAATAAAGGTGACAGAGAGCAAATAAGAGATACTGTAAAATGATTGTCCTATTTATCTATGCATACTGAGTATCTACAATAATTAAGAGCCAAGGGTGTTAATTGCAGAGACCTGTCAAATAAACTGATGAAGGCCACAGGAGTGGCAGAAATATCCGAGTTTCTAATAAATCAGTGTTCTTAAAGTCTACTATTGAAGCTGTTTCATTTTTTCTATATATTATATATATATATTTGACTATTACATATATTTTTTTTTCATTACATTTAATTTTTAACATAAATGTTCTATTCCAAGCACTATTATTACTACATTACATTATTATTATTATTATTATTATTATTATTATTATTATTATTATCAATATTATTAATATTATTGTTGTTATTATTATTATTAATTTTTATTAATTATATATATATATTTTAATAATTAATTTTATCAATATTATTATTATTCATTATTATTATTATTATTATTATTATTATTATTATTATTAATGTATTTGTATATATATTTATGTATACAAAAATGGAGGTAATAAAGTATTTTCTACACTATAATACCACCATGATATAATTATTAAATTATTATAATAATGTGGATAATAATGTGGATGGGCCCAATGTCTAAGCCTTTTGCTGAAACATAAGAGCAGTTTAAAATTGGGACGGGGACACAAAGCATTGGCTACAAACAATTAGGATCCAATGTCAACAGTAACAACAATTCCTAATAACAATTTTTAAATAATATTTTACAATATCTGTGATGCTTACTTAATAATAATAATTATGTTATACATTATTTTAGGTCAAGTAGTACATGTTTGTATTCTCTGTATTTTGGGCATTGTGGAACGCCAGCTACTGAATATGGCAGAGGTAATGTTTGTTTATACAGTAATACAAAATACAATAGACCTACACTTATAGTATTAGAAAAGAAGGCAGCAGGCTTATTCTCCTATTGTCACGCTTAAGTTCCCTGTTAAATTTACATGGAATTTTTTCTAAGGACTCTCTCCAATACGAGACCACTTTGTGTACCTGAAATTTGGGAACCTCTAGATAGTGACCACGGGTTAAGCAGTCTCCAAACAGCATAATTAGAGGGTAACTGAACCTAAGACCGAAGCTAAAAGTGGTTTTAAAAGACAACATGGGAGAATCGTTTTTTACCTAATTGGAAAAGTTTAGTGATCCAGTGGCTAAAACTAAAATTTCTTTTTAAAAACTAGCTTTAAAAAAGGTATTAAACATAATATACAATAATAGTGCTGGCCCCATACCGGGTTAAAAAAGATGGATGATATTTCAATGTACAGGCTTAAAATGAAGCGGTTTATTGTCGTGAGCATTTTGACACGTTTTAAACAAAATCGGTTGACATTGGGACAGTGCGGGCCAAAGAATAAAATATGCAGTTTCAAAAATTACCCTTCGGTGTTTAAGCTATATAAAAAAAGTCATT